TCGATCTTTTTTGTCAACCTGTAACAGCATAACGGGGCGGAGTTCGAGGAATATGGCGCTGTATTTTTCAGTACTTACTATTAAGTTTAATATTTAGTATTTATTTTCGAAAAATTTTTTTTTTTTGAATAATATTTTAATTTTAAAAACTTTATACAGGTGTTTGAAAAAATCTGGTCATTGATAATCACGATTTTCCTGCTTAAAGCCCTTTGACGTAAAAAGCGGATTTTTGGAAAACGGATTAACTTTAAGGTGTTGTGGTTCGATAAGAAGGATTTTTCGAAACTCAAAAAAAAAAAAAAAAAAAAAAAAAATATTAGAAATATTTTTTATCTTAAAACCGGTGAGTTTTTCGGGAAAAAACTCTTAAACACGTTATTTTATTTTTGTTACATATTTTAAATTTTTTACAATAATAAACAGAGTTGTTCATAAAAATGAAGTAATCCGCGATTTTGCTTAACTGCTTGACGTATTAAAAGCATTTTGGCAAACAGATTGACTTTAGGGCTGTTAGGAGTTCGATAAGAAGGGATTTTTCGAAAACTCGGAATTTCTAGGGGGTGAAACCACCCTCAAATTTAAATTTTTTTATTTAAAAACCCGTGAGTTTTTCGGAAACGCTAACCACGTATTATCTCTTAACTTTGATGTTTTACAATTTAAATTTTAAAAAATAATACAGGGTGTTTCATAAAAAATATAAAAAAAAAAAAAAAATTCTGCTTAAACTGCTGACGTTTAAAAGCTTGAATTTTTGGCAAACCATACTTTAGGGTGTGGAGGTTCGATAAGAAAAGATTTTTTCGAAACTCGAATTTTAAGGGGGTGAAACCACCCTCCAAAATAGAATTATTTTTTATTTAAAACCGGTTGAGTTTTTCGGAAAAAACTCTTAACACGTTATATTTCTTTGTTTGTTACTTATTAAGATTTTTAAAAATAATAAAAAAAAAAAATGTTCTAAAATATATTAATTTTTTTTTTTTTTTTTTTTTTTATATTTTTTTAAAGCTATTTTTGGCAACGGATATTGTACTGTGGTTTAGAGGTTCGATAAGGGGTTTTCTGCGAATCTCCAATTCCAAGAGGGTGAAAACGCCCCTCAAATATTACAATTTTGTATTTAAAACTGTTAGGTCTTTCTGGAAACAACGCTTGGCACGATAAATTTATTTTCATATTTTTAGAATTTTTTTAAAAAAATCCCCCATACAGGGTGTTCCCTGAAAAGTTGAGTAATTGATTAACCACGATCTGCTAAACTGCTCGACGTTAAAGCTTATTTTTGGCAAAAGTGAGAAAATTTTATTTTCAGTGTATGTAATGGAAATTCTTGGCCATCTAATCCCACCTTTACAAATTATTAATTCCCGACGCGAACGAAGTCGCGGGTTTACACGCTAAAGTTAAGGTGTAAAATTAATTGAACTTCAGTGTGTAGTTGGTTACTTATGAAGAATTATAACTTACAGCGCTTATTTTAAAAAAACCACTGTTTTAGAAGTATTTTAGATAACAGATCGAATTTAGAAATTTTTGCCCACCTGGGAAATTACTACCACCGAGCATGTCATTTTTGCAACTTGCAACTGCGTAATACGCCTGGCGGTGACCGCCCTCATACTCTTTCAGATATTTAGCAATAAAATAAAGAAACCTGTTATTTTAAGCTGTTTTTTTATAAATAACTATAACAGTTTCAACTGTTATCTAAAAATAACAGTTTTGCCCATCACTACTTTATACTGATCCGGCAAAAGTGCGTCGGGCATCTGTAGCTCCTATAATAAAAAAATTGTGTGTGCACTATGTGCATATATTTGAAGTGATACTTCTTACTGACAGCTATTAAATTGAAGGATTTGAAGGACATGTTTGAAAAACTGTAGTTTGAAAAGTTGAAAAAGTAATAAATTAAAAATTAATAAATAATTTAATTCACTTTCACAAAATTTGTATTAAAATGACCCTCTGTCCTTCAGAGGACTCCATTCGGGTACCTCTATCCACGTGCCGAGTTTGGGTCCAATCGATCCATAATTTAGAAAAATCCTATTGATTTCATCCATTTAGAGACATCGGTTGAAAACGTCGAGGGCGTCATTCTTTAGCCCGTCCCCAATTATACTAAAATCAACCCCATTTTTTCTTCAATATCAAAATCCATATGCCCACCCTATGAAGATATTAACGAAAGTCCGTTCAACTGTTTGCAGAACGGTCCGGACCGTGTGCACCGTCGCTCACATAGCTTACCCACCAAATTTGTCGCGATCGCACGACATCAATTTTTTACGTTTTTTTACGTCAAAACTAATTGTCACAGTGACACGTGTCGTACACGGTCAAGTTGGCCTTAGTCCAATCTATCGACATATACCAAATTTCAATTAAGTCGGAATCATTTTAGTCCCAGCGCGCGTAAAGATGTTTTACTTAAAAAAATTAGGAATTTTGTATAAGTCCAACCTAAAGTATGTTTAGGATGTATTTCAGAAAAATAGTTTAACTTCTACAGGGCGGCTCAGAAAAGTGTGAGTGGATCGGGATGGTTTTTTTTAAATGGAACAAAATTACTAAGTTTTTTGTTATAGGATGCCCGACGCACAATTGCCAAACCCGTATAAAGTCGTCCTTACTACTGTTTGAACGGTGGCAACCCTTATTTGCGGCAACTTTTTCATAGGCAACCTTATAGTAGCATGCACAGAATAAAAGTAAATTAAAATCAATTTAAAAAAAAAAAAAAAAAAAAAAAAAAAAAAAAAAAAAATATATTAATATTATTTTTAATTAAACATTTTTTTTTTTTTTTTTTTTTTTTTTTTTTTTTTTTTTTTTTTTTTTAAAAATACATTTGTTACCCACCACTATATATCGTTCTAATCCTGCAACCGGAATCCATATCTATCAACAAACCAATAAATTAATTGGATTAATTTTAACAAGGTATTTATTAAGAAATATAGGTTTGGGTGGCTAGGGATTTGGGTTGGACCATTCCATATAATGGCTATATTTAGTATATCGCATTTTATGTGTGATAAATAAAAACGTAATACACGTACACTTTATACAGAGTGAGTTTTCTACGATGTGCTCTATGAGTATCTCGGAAACTACTGGAGATAGAGAGTAGGTTGCGGAAAGTTGCGCAAATTGCGGAAGTTTTCTTATGGCTTACTATATTCATTATATATATATAATTAAATTTGGGCGTATTTAAATTTCCTATCTTATTATATCTATTTTAGACAAAAAGTTTAGATAAAAGTATAGTTCGGTTAGATAATCACACTCCTAATGAGTTTGTGTTTCTCCGATTTTCTAAAGTCTTGTTAATTTTTGGACTAGACCTCTTATTATATCTAATATTAAAACCATAGTTGGCCAGACTGCATAAAAAGCTCCATTTTTAACCTTTCAGCGATAAAGAGCTTCTATAAAATACTGAGTTATAGCCAATGTCTTTTTTTCGACAGCCTAAATTTCTTCATTTTATATATGGGTATATCTAGTAATCCATGAACTTTTTCCAAAAATCTGAAAAAGGGGCCATATTTATGACGCCCCAAATCTGCTATTCTCTCCCCATTTAACCCTCTCTATAATTTCCTTATCTTCCCGAAGACATCATAGAGAACATCGTAGAAACTCACCCTGTATAAGTATTTTTTTTTACAGTTTTTTTCTGGGAGTTTTTTGATTGAGAAATTTGTTAATATAGTATTTTTTACTTTTTTTTTTTTTTTTTTTTTTTTTAGTTTTAATTTTTATGTGTCAAAACTATCTGGTTGCCTTTTTAAGCCGTCGTTCTCGGCGAATTAACATGAGTCTGAATAACACTTCCAGTTAATTCCATTTCAAATAAAATTTTTCCAAATGTGGCAGCACCTCGACAAAACGATTTGTCCTGTTAAAAATAGAAGTTTTAAATTTTAAAATATCAAATATAATAAAAAATGTCATGTATATAATGAATATAAATTTTTACTTCTAGGAATATCAGTTAATGCCGGGTCCAGAGACCAAGGCGACAAAAAAGTATATACTACGATTTTTGAGACCAAAAAAATACACTCTTGCGACGAAAAATGGAATTTGACAAAAAAACTTTTCTATTTTGTCCACAACCGCAATGACAAAAGTTACACACAAATCTAAAAGTTTATTGTTGGAATGATATTAACCATGTGCGATTTCACTGGTCTCCAACTGATGGCAGCACACGCCATACCACTGCGCCGACAACTTGTAAAATATACGAACAAAACATAAACACTTTGATCTTTACCGACTCGAGACGGGACATTGAAAAGTCCCCGAATTTTGAAACAGAACAAAAATGAGACAAAAATGTCGCAGAAATGTATTGGATTTGTCGCAATTTTGTCGTAAAACATGAATGGTTCTGTCTTGTCGTTGTGTTGTCTGCTTGGTCTGGAACCGGCATAACAAAAGAATCTTATCTAACAAAAAGCGTATAAAGTGTATTACTAAAAAAATCTAAAATATTTTAATTGTGGACATTATGTTTCGATCATAGTGTTTTCATGCACAATAGATTGAGAATCACACTATCACACTTTGTTTCGGGTTTCGGTTATAGTGTCACCATGTACGATTAAATCATAGTACATATAAGGAATCTAGTAGCTTTACTCCTTGTCTAATCCTTTGTTCCTTTTTTGCAACTTTATATGACCTTGTTCTCGCGTCCCGTGACCACTAACGTAGCTGTATAGTCGTGGTCGAAGGTTATTAAGTCGTGGTCTATAACTAGGCAAAGTATAGTTGTTACACTCGTCATAGTTTCACTGAGATGTATTTAGGAAAATATGAGTTCACAATAAAATAAAATAAAAAAATGATCATCGAGTAAAAATTTGCTTGAAAACAGAATATTTTCTAATTATTCTTATATTAATTCTTCTGTATCTGAAAAGAAAACAAAACAAGAAAGGTTTTCTACAACTTAACAAAACAAATTAAACTTAAAACAAGTTTAATTTTAACATTAATGTGTTTGTTTTGTAGTAATATATTGGTTAGGTGATTTTCATTGGATAACTAATACATTGAACAACACATTGTACTAAATAATAAAATAACATATTTAAACTTCAATAATTGCTAATAAACATTACAGAAATTTCAAAAGAGAAAAGAAGCAAAAACAATGAGAAATAAAAAAGAAAGAATAATTTCTTAGTTATTGTTACCGAGTCCCGAAGGTACCGAAAGAACCAGGAATTTCCAGTTCTGAACCCTAGTTACCATATTATTAATAAGTTTTTATAACTAAAAACTGAAAAAAAAATCCAGATTTTTTTTTAAAAATTGCGCAGAAAAATCCTCATATTTCTTGGGTCAAAATATACTACCCCAAAAAATATTTGCACTTATTTAAGACTCACCCTGTATAGAGCGATTCACGGTTATGGTACGTTATTGCGTTTCCGGAACCGGAGTTTTTCGGAACAGGTAATTTCGGCACCGTACCTCTATGGAACCGGGATTTCCAATTTTTTTGGTACTTCGGTACTAGCAAATTTTTGTTCAATGATGCTGCAGTTCATTAAACAGCAAGCAAGGGATGGTTGTCAAAAGTAAAATCGATAAAAAATTGAGGTTTAAATGAAAATAATATCCAATTATTAAGTAATAATCAGTCATGAAAAAATTAACCTGAACACAAACATGATCACAAATGACTCTCAAAAAAACTCAAAGGACAATTTTTTGAATTATTACTACAACCAATAGCAGTACACAGTAAGGCACTCATTTTTTGTCGATCCGTCTCTGTGCTGGAACGCAACGCTCGAACCTCGCACGTCGACGGACGGAACTCAACTGAAACGCTCTGCAATCTGCCGATATTCGACAGATTGTAAAAACTAGCAGAAAATATTTGGCAAAGTGCAACTACTCTTTTCCTTCTACTATGATTAAATTATGAAATTACATGTTTTCTTCTATACTAACCTGCGCTATTAGTAAATGACTTTTTAGAAATTTACTTCTGGCTAATGATTCTCTCATAGAAGAGTGAAAAGTCATTATTTGCGGACAATGCCTGTCCCATTTAAAAGTATTCTTGACAAGATCTTCCATATTAGTAACGATTTTTAATTTTAAAGTTTTTTCAACGTCCTCTATCAATTCGGAAATATTACTGAAACATAAAATCCCTGTAATATTAATTTTATTATTAATATATGAAATATACACGGTAACCCATTAGTGCGAGGAAGTCCAATACTCGGTCCAATATCATTGTTGTTGACAAAGATATAAAAAGCGTTTTTTTCAGATGTTTCATGGTTTTATAATGGTGCATCCTAAACATATTTTTTAGTATACAGGTTGTCCCAAAAAAGTTATGATAATTTTTTTTTCAAATTGCACCTACCATTTTTCTGTACAGGGAGAGCCAATAATATAGATGGTGTTACATTTAAAAAAAATAAGATATAGCATTTTAAATATTGAGATGTTGGCGACAATGACGACGGCATAAAAATTACCCTATATAAGGTAATGTAAATTTTCCTTCGCGGATTTATTCTGTCATTCTTGGTGTTTAGGAAAATATAGCTAAGTATTAATAAAGTTAATATAAATTCCCTCTAGTTTTTAACCACTTTCTGGATGTAGTGTTTTTAATCAAAGTTTCGGTTAAATATGAAATAGAACGGCAACACCACATAGTGCTGAAAATAAAAATAGCGTACTATAGCAGAATTTTATCCCGAATCCAACTCTGTACAGAAAAATGATGAAATCTGTACAAATAAAATATTTTTAGGATTTTCCCCTTTATAAATTTATGCAACATCTGTATAAAACTCCTATTCCTCGCACTAATGGACTACCCTGTAAGTATCTACGCATATACAATATTAATTATTATTAAACGTAATTTATGTAATAACAGATAAACGATAATTTTTGTGGAAAATTACATCTACGTTTCAAAAGAAGGCAAAAAAAAGGCCCGTTTTAAAAAGTTTTTTAAAAATATATTATTACCTTAGATTATTACACAGCAAAATAATACCTGACGTATGTGACTTGTTACTCTAATTCAAAATTATATTATTTTTTCTATATTTTTTGCTTTCATTTTTTGATGATAAATATTTATAAACTTAACTTTTTTTTTAAATATTTCTTTTACCTTACTTTCATACAATTAACCCAGCAAGTAACAGGATTATTTTTTGAATGTTCTGTAACTTTCTCATCCTTTAAATGCGAGGGTAAAAGTTCGTTCAGCGTTAACGCATTGTACTTTATTCTAAAAAGTGAATACAAATTTATAATAAGAATTAAGTAAAAATACATATATTTAAATCACCTAAGTCTAGACACTGAGGCCGCTAATCGAACCTTTTGAGTCCATAGCGCATTTTCTGCAAACGACAGTCCTGCTGCATCGAATAGTTTTCCTGCTAAAGGTGCTACCGAAGTTTCCCTTTTCTTGAAACTTCTATGGTAAAGGTCGTAGAATAGTAACCATACATGAGGAATTGTTTCTTCCAGCTAAATAATCACGTAGGTATATATTTTTATAGTATTAAAAACAGGTGTTTTTATAAGTGGTTCATCCCTATAACCTCGGAATTTAGTATGTTAGTATGATAGATAGATAGATATATAGATAAAATAGTTTATTATTTCTAAGTATATAACAGATGTTACATATAAATACCCCGAAGAGTGTAGAACATGTCAAAAATGTTCACTATTACTATGAAAAATAAAAGATAATTAAATTAACAGGGAAGTAAGAAAAATATATAATGATATGCGTGATATATGATTAGTACTTAACAAACAAAAATACAGAAAAAGGAGAAAAAAATATAGGTATATACAAAATTCCAAATTTATATTAATAACAAATTAATCCTGTCATTGTCGTGGTAAAAATCGTCCACTGAATAGAACACTTCATCAAGGTGCTTTCTATATAACTGCTGTTTTTAATAAGTTTATAGGAAGCAAGCGAACAGTTTCAGAAAGACTGTTACATAGAGATATTGAGGAGTTCTTAACATTTTTCTGAATATAACTAAAGTTACACCTCTCACCCATTACTAATTTATATGACATAAATCAGGATTAATTGAGGTATTTAATGAGTTGCGATTACTTCCTGTTTCACCGGAAATGACTACAACTTTTGATTTTTAAATGGTACTACCGGAATTTTTTTACTTTATTTGATAGAAAATTACATTCTGAATAGAACGATATATCATATGCCCACTTTTGACTTTTTCAATTAAAAAAAATAGCATTTAAACTTCAATCTAGAGTGCCGTGGCTGTATTAAAACCCTAATTTTAATCAAAGAGCTTTGGGAAAATGATTTGATCGTCTAATGTTTTTCGTGTCTTTTCCTGGTCGGTTAAAAGATGCACAAATCGCATTTTTATAGTATTTCTTAATGACTTTTTTTTCCTCAATAACAAGGGGCCGTCCTCTGCCGGAAACACTACGACCTGTGAGGCCTATTGTGTTAGTCCCCTTTCTATATCTGTACCCATTTTCCTATCCCTGTGCCCTGCACTAACTTATGCAGGTCCTTGATAGGATGGGAGCATAATTCCTCCGGTTCTAGCTTAGCTTTCCCAAACAAAAAGTGTCGCTTGCGATCCAAAGCCTTGCAGTGACATATTATTTGCTCCGCTGTTTCAGGATCTTTATCGCAGAGTCTGCAGCAAAGTCTTCCTTGATACAGGTTGATCTTATTCAGGTAACCCTTGACAGAGGCCTATTGTAATCCGCACTTTATTCCTGCTAAGCATTAGCAATTCATTTGCGGTTTTAGGCTAGGCCCTTGGATAAAGGCCTTGCTGTGCCTGTGCCCCTGTCTGTTTCTCCAGTGGACATTCTGCTTTCCCAGATTCAGAGTTTTGGTGTACTACAGGCCATACATTTGGGTATTCCCAGTACTGGGTCTGGACCAAGATAAGATGCCGATGATCCTTGCCTAGCTAGTTCATCGGCTTTTTCGTTGCCTTGGATGCCGCTGGCGCTGTGGGCCAGCACCCAGAATGATTTAATTCTGTTCCTTCGTGCCAGAGCTCCCAGTTCAGCTAGGCATTCCTAGACGAGGCTCGACGATACCTTTAAATGACTTTCGGAAATACTATAATTCAATCGTCTCATTCTTTTAAAGTAAACTTTAAATGATATATAAAATAGGAAGCCGTTTTTTATATTTATTTAACTCTCTCCATGTCTTATGTCAATTTTTAATAAATATATCATATTATGGAGATTGACCGACGTAATAATGCATAGCCAATTCCGAGGCTACTACGAATATAATGGGTGCCGTTTTTTCTAATTAGGCTGAGTCTCCACCAAATGAATATTAGCAAACGTTTATGGTGTCAAAAGCGTATTGAAGAGAAAGTCAACAAAAATCGTAAATAAATGTTGGACACAGTATTTTATTTGTGTTAAAGTGTTTTATTTTTCTTAAATAGAATATTCCAGAAATGGGGCTGAATATAAATGTTTCTAAAACAAAGTTCATAGTCTTCAGCCGCCAACCATACTTCAACGCATCACTACAGATAAATGGACAAAACGTTGAGAAAGTATCCAAATTTAAATACCTTGAATGTTATATCACTGAGCAACTTGACCCGGGGATAGGGAAATTAGATGCAGGATTGGAATCGGTCCGTACAATATTCTAGAAGAAGAGATCACTGTTTTGTAACTATATTCTGAACTTAAAGCTGAGACAAAGAATGATTAAATGTTACATCTGGTCTGTGTTGTTATACGGAACTGAAATCTGGACACTCAAAGCTGGTACAATCAACCGTCTGGAAGCATTTGAAACGTGGTTACATAGAGAAGGGCTAGAAATACCATGGGTGGCTATGCAAAGCTGTGTGCAAAGAAATGAAGCAGACTTAAACAGGGCAAATGCAGTTCGTAAACTTTTTACAACAGTTAAGTGCCAAAAGCTGTTATACCTCGGCCATGTTCTAGACAACATTAAAACAAAAGTTGGTGTGACTATCTAAAAAGTTACAAACACAAAAATCTTTTCAGTTGATACGCGCCCTTCTGGTTGAGCACATTTCTGAACTTCTCTATTTTGAGAAAAATATTTACTTACTTCATTTCGATAGTTTTATTGCTGACAAATATAAAAATAAAACAAATTTACTGTTATTCATAATTCATTAAAATTACTCAAATTCCTCAAAACCGACTGAAAGTGTCACAACTTTAATTCGACTTTAAAATAAACATCAGGAAATTACATTTTACGCCACCTGTAATAAAACCGAACAGATTTAGAAAAATATAAGGTTCGTTATTTTAACGGCACGTTTCCGCGATTCGAAAAGTTCGTGCTTTGAAATTGCATTTCAAATATTATGTTTTTGTAAGACTTGTTAAATTAGACAGTTCGTGAAATAGTGCCGTTACGAACATGCAACGCTTTAGGAAATATATTTATTCGAAACGGTAAAAGAGTAAAAATAGACAATAATAAAATACTTTTTCCCAGTGGCTGGCGTAATTTTCGTCAGTTAGTTAAGTATAATATATATTTTTCAGCTCACACTCTAATGCAAATATAGGATACCCCACACTGAACAATAGCTCCCGTATATAGCGTTCGACGCCTTGGGAGTAGCAAGGTACAGCTTGCCATACTAGAACCGTTCGGTATGCAAGGAAGGTAATGTGGCCAGCACTACGCTTCAACCGCCTATTATTACCTCAGGATTGTGAATCCCAAGTACTCATTTAAGGCTGAGTCGACCTAGGTACCCAAACTATTTTTATTTTAATAAAAATTGTCGGCTTATGAAATGCCGGGTGTGGGATTCGAACCCACTACCTTGAGATTGGTAGACGAGAGCCTGTACCTCTACGCCACCGGGCAGCGTATTTACATAGTATACTACGGCACAGAGCCCCATAGAACGCGGCGGCTCTGTAACGCAGTATTGTATGTAGTTGTAAACCGCCCTTATTTTCTACTACATACTCTACTACGGTGCAGAGCCGGTAGAAAGAAAAATGTATTTATGATGATATTATTGTTGTTTAGTAGCAAAAATTTGTAAAGTACAATATTAAATTGTAATGTGTTATATTAATATGGATTTTTTATCAATGATAATTGACAACTTGAAAATTATAAGACTCTCAATTTAAACTGCATTCTCTCATTATCAACCATTGATAGAAAGAATTTAGCTAAATTAGCCATGGGGGAAAACATTTTGATAGTCTTAGCAGCGTTTTTTTATCTTTTAATTGCCTTTTAAATGCCTTTATTATTTGAAAGACTTGAAGTTGTTGGCATTTTTAAAAAGGAATCAAAAGATAAAAGACTATCAAAATGTTGATCTAATAACAATTTGACATTAATACTATTACATCAAAAGCAACTTTTTTCCAAAGCCTACCATGACTTCACTGAATCATAATTTCTTGTTCGCTGTTATTAATATCTTAATTATTAGATATTAATACATCTGGTATTATGGTATTCTGGTATTTCGTCGATTATAAAATAAACTAACTGTTTCTATCTTATTTTTTTTATTAGAATGGGCATAATCAAGAGGGCTACTGATACCGTATTGTAAAAATAAGGTAATTAAGGGCTTATTTTTTGGTATTTAATAATTTTGCCAATATCTTCGGTTTGAAAGAAGATATCAAGATGCGGTTTTCGACTTTTTAAGCTTTTACTGCTCTTTACTATCAGCTAAAATTACATATACTATCGTATTTAACTTTTTTGAAAAAACGCGCTATGTTTGTCAAATTGTAAGAAAGCGCCTCCTAGCGTCTACGTTCAAAACCTTATTATTACTATTTTTATGGTATAATATAGAGTAAGAAACGCTTTTTTAAACGAGTTCTCGTTTATTGGATTCTGGTCCTCCAGTCCGGAGTTATTAACATTTAAATAAAGATAGATTTAACATTCCCCCACCATTTTATTTTAGCAGATAGAGGAAAATGGTTTTAACAAAAAAAATCTACAATTTACTGAAGATTATGAAGCTATTATTTATAGTACCCATTATCTAGGCAAAATTCTGTAAAAATTCTATTTTCTTATTTTCCATAGCAGTTGCGCCCTCTAGCGGCCGTTTTACAAACTTGAAAATAATTTCCAGCAATTTCTCATAGCCCCCTTAGTTATAAATATTTTTTTCCGTAGGCCCTACGGCTAATACTTTCCGAGGTACAGCCGAGAGCTATTCTTAGTGGGACACCCTGTATATCTAAATTTTCAATTATTATCAACGATAAAAAATCAATATTAATATAACACATTACAATTTAATATTGCATTACTAATTTTTGGCACTAAACAACAATAATAGCATCATAAATGCACTTTTCTTTCTACCGGCTCTGCACCGTAGTATAGTATGTAGTAGAAAATAAGGACGGTTTACAACTACATACCATACTGCGTTACAGAGCCGCCGCGTTCTATGGGGTTCTGTGCCGTAGTATACTATGTAAATACGCCACCGGGCACCTGCAATTAACAATTTTACCAACACAATAAAAAATTTTTTTTTTATTAAAGTCTTCAATTTTGAAGTTACAAAAATAAAATATACAAAAAAATAAACAGCTTAAAAAATAATCAAACCAATTTAAAAAGAACTAAATTTAGGTAAAAAAACAAAACTATGACCGTATCTGTTAGATTTTAAATTTTAAAATTAAGATCAATTCTTCTAGTATGCATATTTGCGAAAACTTTTATTACATTTTCTTCAAAAGAAGAGGAGAACAACACATACTCCTAGTAATGAACTTTCCATGTTCATCATAAATCATCGTAACAGGTAGTATTACATACATTTTTCTCCTCGTAAAATAGTAGACAAGGCCAACAAAAAGTTTATTGAGTGCCTTACAACAACATAACCAGTGTTCACTTTTATAAACATTTTCACTAAAATAACGAATACACGATTTTAATTTAGTATTAATATTCAAAATATGCTTTGAAAATCTTTCTTCAATAGTTCTTCAATAGTCTAAATGCACCATAGAACTGACGGATGATTACAAAATTATTTCTATTTTACAGCCGCACTCCGAATCGGTCATCGCGACGTGCGACTATATTTTTTATATGTTATATCGCGATGTGTTTCAGAAACCGCATCACCCACCAACTAAAACAGCGAACGGGAGACAAAATGGCACTCTAGATTGAAATTTAAAATACGATTTTTTAAGCAAGAATGTCAAAAATTTGACATATGTATGTGTCATTCTGTTCAGAGCGTCATTTTCTATCAAATAAAGTAAAAAAATACCGAGGGTGCCGTTTAAAAACCAAAAGTTGTAGTAATTTCCGGGGAAACAGGAAGTGGCCGAAAACAATTGAGTACGTCAATCAATCCTGATTTATGTCATATATTAACGTACCAAATCTCGTTTATTTATATGAAAAAACACAAAAGTTAGGGGTGAGCTATTTTTGAGAAACACCCGGTAGAGATAAAAATCTGAAATGACTATTTTAATACCTCAGAAATTAATGGTAAATCATAATGTATAGTTTACCTTTGGAAATGTTTGGAAAAACAATGCGTCATTTAAAGCCTCCATCAACACGTTTTTATCTGCAACAAATAATGTTTAAGTCATATTTTTTGCCAATTTGTGGTGGACTATTCAAAATGTCCCAATCTAAAGTAACCAAACTTTACCAACCAAACTTTTCCAGCAAAATATACCGGGTGCGCGTCAAAAGTGGCTCACTTCTATAACTTTTTTACTTTTTCAGATAAAAAAAACGAAATTTATTATGTTAGTATATGACATAAATTAGGATTGAATTACGTATTCAAATGTTTTCGGTCGCTTCCTGTTTCACCAGAAATGTCTATAACATTTAAATGGCACTTTCGGTATTTTTTTCTACTTTATTCGATAGAAAATGACACTCTGAATAGAATGACATATCATATGTCAACTTATTCAATTAAAAAAATAGCATTTTAAATTTTAATTTAGAGTGCCATGATCATAAATGTAACGACAATTTGACTCGAAATATCAAAATGTGTGGTACAAATTATTCGTAAAAAAATGTTTCTTTCAAATATGCTAATGACCACCCTCGTTCCATTTGAAAAAATTGAGATATGATTAAAAATACGATTTGGGCATCTTTTAACCGGTCAGGAGAAGACACGAAAAACATTAGATGATCAAATCCATTTTTCCAAGGATCCTTGATTAAAAATTAGATTGATTTTTTTTTTTGCGAGAATGTCTAAAGTTGACATATGATCCATTTTATTTAGAATGTCATTTTCTATCGAATAAAGTAAAAAAATACCCAGGGTGCCATTTAAAAATCAAAAATATAGTCATTTCCAGTGAAACAGGAAGTGACCGAAAACAAAATAATATGTCAATCAATCCTAATTTATGTCATATACTAACATACCAAATCTCGTTTTTTTTATCTGAAAAAATAAAAAAAAGTTATAGGGATGAGCCATTTTTGAGCACCCGGTATAACTTAGAGATCATAATTTGGTAATATTCATCTTCTCAGAAAAAATATTCATTTTCATAAGCAAAATAATATTACAGTTGAGGATTGGAACCTTTGGTGTTACACAGCAAAATAAAAACACTAAATCACCACAATACACCAAAACACTTTTACTTTTACACTGGACGCGCGTTTCGCTAACCATGTTAGCATCATCAGCAGATGATTATAATCTAAAGTACAATCTACAAGTTGAGCGTTTATATACTCGCTCAGTGGGCAACGAGTGGGCGTGGCAAAATCTAGCCAACCGAGTCAGAGCCCACTGAGCGTAACAGTTAGATTTCCGCCACCAGATTACTAGGAACAAAGAATTTGAAGGAATTGGACCGTTATCTCTGTTCATACTATCTTTACATTTATTAATTCTGATGCTTTCATATGCATCTAATTGCCTGTAATTTGAAGCTTGTTTAATTTGAACAAGTTGTTATTGTTATCCAGGGTAAAATAATAGGGAAGAGAAGCATAGGAAGAAGACGGATGTCGTGGCTTCGAAATCTCAGAGAATGGTTCAACTGTACATCAAACGACCTGTTCAGGGCAGCAGTCAACAAAATAAAATTAGTCATGATGGTCGCCAACCTTCGCAAGAAGTCCGCACCTTAAGAAGAAGAAGAAGAAACGTTCCAAATAATATAAAAATATTTTAAAAGTCATACCTTGTTTATATGTAATTATATATCGAGAAACTATTCGTTAAATTTGACACACAAAAAACTCGTTAAATTTGATACTTTATGTCAGTTTAATAATATATTTTCTTACTTTTATGCTTAGGCATAAAAATGCTTTACTTTTATGCCTAGGCGTTAAATTTTTTTTTATATTGTCAATCACGTCGCAAAAATTAATACTTTTGTGAAAAAAAAACACTGATAAAGTTTGGTTGACAGAGTTCGAAATGCATTATTGCATACATCGAAAAACATCATAAATCAACGTGTACACTCTCCTCATTTCTTGCTCATCCTCAAACGAAACTGTGAGAGGCGGAGTTTTCAACAAGCATCCCGCTTTCGAAATATCGCTGACCGTCCACGTTATAGGAGATAGTTTTTTGTTTTTCTGCCTTCTTTCGGATACATATCTTTCGAGCTTGCATGGTAGCCCTTTATTTTTCGGTATTATATTCCATTCGTGAAGTTTTGGTTCGGCGGGTTCTTCTTGACCAAGCATTATTCTAAAACATAACATCTGTATTTAACAGAGTGTCCCATTTTGCTTGGACCGTGTCAACCAGCCTTCAAAGAAATTATGTTTCTTGTTATTATTTCTTAAAATAATCCAATACTAATTTTGAAAAACTTTAAAAAAACAATAATTGTAAAACTTAATTTCCTAACAAATATACAGGGCATAGAGTATAGGCTTGGTGCATGCTCTGTCTGTGCTGCCACCATCGGAGAAAATCGTAAGTAGGTATGATATTTTTCTTAAATTGTATTTACATTCATTCAACCAGAGAGAAACTAATAACTAAAGTGAGAGGGCTTGTGGAATAGGGCATTTCGTAGACAAGTTTATTTTGTCACCGCGCATCCAAGACGCGCATAGCGTTTAGGCGGTCAAAAACGGAAGTTTTCAACTTTGCAAGTTAAACATTTGACAGGATTAATTAGATTGTCAGTAGCTTTTTCTATTTTTTAGTTCTATAGAAGGAGATAACTAAAATCTGTTGATAATCGGAGCAAATCGGAGTAATAAATTGTTTTTGACTGAATGTGCCTGTTCTTTTAGCTTGTCAGAAGAGAAGATTATTGTCATTATTGATTATTTCAGACTCACTTATTACACGTGACACGATTATTCGGCATTTGACACGATTATTCGGCATTTTTGTAATTTTTGTTTTGTGGTAAAGACCCAGACAAAACGTTTCCCTTAAAGGTAAGTTTTATCTCGGTAATTATTTTAACATACCTAATAGTAATAGTGAGTGCACATAATAATCGTACATTGCTAATTTAATTTTTTTAATTTAAAACTTTGGTACACATTCTTTTCTGATACCTATGGAACGACAAGGTATTATACCTGCTATTATTTCCAGTAATACAAATTATTTTCTTAAACTGCTAGGTTCTTGCTATAGAATAAAGACTATCAAAAACATTGATAGTGAAGATTGCAGCCTTGAGTTGGAGTATGGCAAAGAGTATGCAGTTAAATAAATTATTATGTTCCTACACAGTATTTTATTTATAGGTTTTAATGCTTTTAAAGATTTCTTATTATGAACTTGAAAGATTAAGATTCAAATATACAAATTTTAAATTTTTGGCGCCAGTATATAGGTATGAATGCAACCTACTATATCGATAATGCGCTCATAGTTCGGGTTAGACGCCAAAGGCCGCTCCACTAACACAGTCTACAAAAATTAACGTTGATCGGTCTCTCTCATTTTAGTTATTAGTGTTCTCTCTGCATTCAACACAAAAAAAGCAAGAATCAATAACAACATATAAAAAATTGTCATTACTTTACTTTAACCCTATAGGTATGTAATTATTGGAAAAATTCTTATTTATTTTATTAATCATTTATGTATTTTTATTTTTTTTTTTCTAAATAAACACATTATATCGATTCTAAGGTGCATCGTTAATAAAATAATAATTATTATTAAAGTTGTCAACTTTTTAAAAAAAATCTTCTTAATTTTGATTAGAGTATAACTTAGTAATATCACTAGTATTTGTACTAAAAGAACGCATCTCATGATTATCTGAGTTGAAGTAAAAAATTAAGTACTTACATTTTCTGTCTTCACACCTATAATTTTTCAATTTTATTGAAGTTTATTGACAATAAACATCATTGTCATTTATTGGTTAATGTTTATTGTCAAAAAACATCATTGTCATTCTTGACTTATCAGTAAAATAAAGCCATAATATGAACATATATTTTTTTAACAAATTTAAAATACAATTAAGAGTAAATAAGTAATATTATATTTGTAAAACAAATACGTGAGTATACGATTTATTATAATTTTATATTGTCAATGTTTTTTTTATGGACTGATGTTAATAGTAATATTAAATTCATTTAGGGTTAAATTTTAAGTTTTATTACTTAAATATAGAGCATTTAAAAAGAATACATAAACGCATAAAAATATAAACTTTATAGTCAAAACATTTAAAAGTTATCATGATATAAAAAATTAAATATGTGATTAAAAAAATTATGAAATTCCGGTATATTAACTGTCAAAAAGTCAAAATTTATTGTTATGGCACAATGTTTCAAGATTTTTTTATTTTGTGTTTCTTATAAACCCAAATTATCATGTTGAGGCGAATTTATCAGTTGGTAAATTTTATTCAAAAATGTCAGACACAACCAAATTACTGGTATAACTATTTTATCGAAAATCTGAAGAAGTACAAAGAAATTTATTTCGAAGGATCAAGCATAGAACTACGAAACCAGAAAATGTTAGATAGCACGGTTCAGACATCGTATAAGTTTATTTTGGCTAAGTACACAGACGGTTTATATAGACCTGGCTCCATTGCTGGTAGGAACAAGAAACGTCAATTGTTTGTCGTCAGTTTCTACCACAATAAGAAATGCCTTTACGTAAAACCGACAGATATCCTATTTAAACATGGAAACTTGTTAAGTACGAAAGTGTCTTTCGTCAAACAGGGGAGACACATAAAGGGCAAAGTGTATGGGAACAATTCTCCCGCTAACAAAGGTTTTCCATCGATATTCTATATAAGGAAAAAAGAAAAATGGTACAAAGTGCCTTTTAAAATGCTGTTTCTAACCAAGAAACAATATAATAAGTTCAAATTTGCATGCTTAAATGACAAGAAAGCGACTACTCCTACTGAACATATGCAAGTGACGGATAGTGACGTCATAAGAATGGAGGAAGACATTCAGAAAGATGATAATGAGATTAATGACGATCTTGAGATATCGTAATTTAGTAAAAAGGCATAAAATATCACGAATTTAGACAAACAATCGACAAATTTAAATATATACTTACCTATAAAACCATATTTTTGTTAGTCTTGCCTGATTATATATTAATTATACAGTTCTTTTCATACAATATGTATCCTAAGTATTATGATTTAAGGAGTATGACAAATAATTCATATATTCTTTGACAAAAAAATAAATACCGTTTCAGTTAAGTATTTTGTTTTTAAATTTATTAACAATATAGTATTAAAACTAAAACAAATAATATTAATGAAGAATAATAACTTGAGCTAGATTGAATTTAAGTAGTTTAGCTTTAAAGCTTGATTTTCATGCATCCGTTATCCGACGATACGATGATACGATATTAATTTTATTGGTTGAATTTAAAGACTTAGATATAACGCAGCATTGAAATTTCTTGCATTTTCATGCTCTCATGCTTGTGATTGGTGTCATTTTATATTTTCATTTCAATAACGAGATTTCGCTGTTTTACTTATAGTCTAAGAGCTAGTAACGTTTTTTACACTACTACGCATCCCCCGATATCTGTATCCAACATCTGTTCACTATTGCGCATCACAAATTCGCCCTGTATTTCAGGAAATAAGGAGGCTAGGACAAACACATATGTAGCATATTTAGTTTCATAAAAAAAGTTGCAAAGTAATGTGAAAATCGCATCATTGAATCTCTACTCATAAACGAGAAATCCCATAAACCACACTAAAATGGGATACCCTGTACGCGCAGTAGCAAACCGAGTAGTCTACCGGCAGTCAGGCGGCCCGCACTTTGGTCAGGAGAGCATAGCAAAAGATATATTAAAGAACCAGCTATCTTAAAATTCTCGTTTTCCCGACGTTGCTAGCTATTGTACTATTATATTTTTAGGGTTAGATTAAATTTGTCAAAAAAGTGTGAAAACGTCCGTTACCGTACGACCTTTCTCCGTTGATAGGCTGGAGTAAAAGGTCCATTTCCATGTGTCCGTTATCAGTTGATACGATGGTCTGACGGCGCTCTAATTGGTAATAGCATGTTCGCGCCACTTTTCATCCGTAATTTTTTTACTCCAGCTGTCCAGCTCGTCAACGAAGAAAGATCGTACCATGATCGTACGATAACGGACATTTTGACACTTTTTTGACAAATTTAATCTAACCCATAGAAAAAGAAACAAAAAAGAGACTGGCAAATTAAATGGCAAAGAGAGGGACAACGTTCCCGTAGCGCAACTCAGAACGCAAAATTCTATAAGCACTAATCTCATTCTAATATAACAAGAGAGAAAGAAGCAGCCATATAAAACGTAATTTCTAAATAGAAATTAGAACAATCGCCTTTCGTCATCATGACAATTCGTCATGTTTGTTAATTTTTCTTTTGGTGATTTACCTTTTTTTTCTAAACTCTCCATTTTATTGACTCATGGATATGGCTAGGGAACAAATTCCTTTGTTTCAGATAGGTATTTATATTTTGTTACTTATAATTTTAGGTTATAGTATGCTTGGATATTCACTTTGTTATTGCAATTAGGCAGTTATGACAAAAACTAATGGTTAAAAAATGTAGGTACTTATTTTAACTTATTTAACAATGTGATTTAATAATCTTAAAATAAACTAATTTAAAAAAGTGCCTGAATGTCTGGGCAAATTTAGATATACAGGGTGCTTCAAATTCGAGGTACGAGCATTGGTATCTCGGTAACCGTAATAGATACAAATATGGTTAAATTGGAGAAAAGTTGCGCCTTGGAATGTTCAGTAATCATCAGTCAGTTCATCTCACAAATTATCAGCTAATTTAAAAATCTAAAAATACTATCAGATAGCACTAATAAAGTGGCTATAAGAATGTGCAATTAGTTTTTTGATTTTCTAAAAAGTAACGGCAGGAAAAAATTAAATTGATTTTCAAAAAATCTGTTTTTTCCAAAAAAACTCAGCAATCCTTGAAATTTTCAAAACTTTTTTGATGGCATCTTGGTGAACATCCCAAGGCGCAACTTTGCCCCAATTTAACCATGTTCGTTTCTATTACGGTTTCCGAGATACCAATGCTCATACCTCGAATTTGTAGCACCCTGTATATGTAAAAATGCTTATTTTTTCCAAAATTACTGATAATAATTGAAGGGCTGGCTGCAATAACCAGGCAGCTCCACTTTTTTTCGAAAATGAGATTTTTAATCCCCTTTATCTCTCGAAAACTCGCTAGCTATAAGTAAAACAGCGAAATCGTTATAGAAATCTATACTAATACAGGGTGGCCCATCGAAAACGTTCCGCAAGACAAGTCAATTTTGTTTGTGAGTGGGACAACACGTCAATTTTGTTTGTGAGTGGGACAACTTTTGCCCCAAAAATGATTGCAAAATCTTCAACTCTCTAAGCGGGGGTGTCATCCCCCAACTTTTTTCAAATGGGAAGGGGGGTCAAGTGGCACCGCAATGAAAAGAGCTTTCTATTATCTATATTTCTCTGCTTCGTTTTTGAAAATCGATCGATTCATTGAGAAAATATGAGGGATTGAAATTTGAAAAGTTTATTTAAACATTTATCAGAGTAAATGATAAGGATAAATTCCTTCGACCAATTTGCTGTTTTTTCTTATTATTTCTAGATGTTTGCGCATTTTTTCACTTGCCACAAGGTTGAACGATCAGATGCGGTCTCAATATCGTTAAACTGACCTACAATAGAATTTCCAAAAATACCAGCCAGCGACGATCAAAATCGTCTTCGTTGAGTTCTTGTACCAACTGAATTTTGTACGTGTGGAACTTGTGTTTTTTTAATATCGTTTGGACACTTGTACGATTCACGCCGATCGCGGTCTTGTTGGCTAATTTTCTTGTACTCAGCGTACTATCCATGGCAACTTGGCCCAATACGAATACCTCCATAGCTTCATTTACTACAGGATTTTCTCTCTGCCTTTTTTTATTCATAACGAAACCAGTTTCGTGAAATTTTGCTACTAAATCGCGAACAATTTTGCCATAAAGGTGTTTGTCAGGATGGCGTTCATTGAATATCTGTGCAAACCGATTGCCACATTCATTATTTTTAAAATAAAGTTCGATTATATCCACTTTTTCTGCAAGTGAGTACACCATAATTGTTAAAAAGTTTAACGATATTGAGAAGAACTTCAACGCACAAGTCACAGAACCATACCATACCGCCATTACTCGCTGATGAGTATTTGACACGCATCAGAAGATGGTCAAGCAAGGCGTTTTGTTTCATGAGCTTTTCTGTGACTGAAAAGCCCGATACGTGATGTTATCTGTCTACGGCACTCCAGACATTCAAAAATCTCATTGCTTTGTTGCCTCTTTACTTTTTGGTTGTTGCTCTTAACTGACTTTACAATTCTTCTCCATTCCGTTCTATTGTGAGCTGCTTCTTCCCACTCGTTCTGCTTGTTAATTCCCTTTAAGTTTTAGTGGAAAATATCCTTGAACCTTTTGAGTTGTCCACCCGTCCTCCTCTTACCGTCTACAAGCTCACCGTAAAGCAGAGATTTTGGTATGTGGTTTTCTTGCATTCTGCATACGTGACCAGCCCATCTTAAGCGGGACTTTGTAATCATGACTTCAATACTCTCGCAGTTAGCTTTTTCAAGAACCGATACGTTTGAGACATGATGGAACCATTTTATTCTTAAGAGTTGTCTAAGATGTCTCTGTTGCAACTTGTTTAATGCGTTCATGTGTCGGCGGTACGGCACCCAGGTTTCGCTTCCATATAACATGGTGGCAATTATTATCGCTCGGTACACCGCAAGTTTCATTTTTGTGCTCAAGTCATGATTGTAGAAAACCCTGTCTTTTAATTTCCAGAATGCTCTTGAGGCGCTGCTA